GWSWMAGGCTAATGATAAGGTCATAATCTGCGGTTTGAACAGCAATAAAAGTATAGTCTCCATAATAATGATGATCACTGCAAGTGGCTTCAGATGCATCATTCTTAATATCAACCCCAATAGATCACTGTAACATGAACATCCAAAATCCAAATAAAGTAAAGAATACCAAGTCGATGGATGCTCCTTACCTTCTTCAACGTTATCAGGAACTACAACGTTATCAGGAACTACGGATTCTTCAGGCTTCCCACCATTCTCATTAGGCATCAGGTTACCCTCTTCAGCTAGCATTAATAAAAATAATTCAATAGCATATAGATATTGACTAATCTCCACGTCCCCCATACAGCTATCAAGATTATAATTTATAAAAAAGACCATGAAAGTATTTTTTGTAAATAGCCGCAGGAATTAAAAGAAAATCAGAAACAGACAACACAATCCAGTATCTAAAGTTCGTGACACCACTTTCCAATAAAAATAAGATTAATTGAAACCCTAGTAGAAACAAAACTGAGAAGCAGTTATACCAGACGAGTCAAGCTGCAAGGCACGGATGTCCTCCTCAAGGTTATCTATAATTGAGAAACAAGTTCAATAAGGAACTTAAATTAATACATGGACACACTTATCCGGAAATCAACAAAAATCAAAGTATAAGAACAGAATTCGGTACTCAAGTAAGCACTAAATACCTAATTCAAAGATAAAACGATAAAAAAACAATAATCTTGTCGATGATCAATAAGAAGTTCTGATTCAAATTAAGGGAGGCTTACCCATTTGAACTGGAGGAAGATGGTACCAAGATAAGTGATCGACGTTACAGTTACAAATTTTCCTTACACCTGAAATTATATAAATAAAAATAAGCGGAATTGACATCTGTTAGATGAAAAGAAGGATAGCATAAGGGAAGAATCCGCCTGCAAGTTTGCGTATGTGTTTAAAAGAGCACATACCTGTCGAGATACGAGAAGCTTGGCGTGGCTGCTGAAAGGAGAAAAGCGAACCAGAGTGCAAGGTGTTTGTATGGACAAAAACCCTAATTTTGTATGTTTATACCATGTATACATCACGAATTCTGCATCTCCTATTCATCAAAATCAAGAAAAACTGGGATTTTTACCCAATATTTCTATTTTAACATTTTTTTTTAAAACTATCTTTAAAATGGAAAAAATGGGAGAGGAATGGGTTATTTCTTTAAATATAAAGTTAACCTTGAAAATGATTATAAATGAGAACATCAATAAATAAATAAAATATATATATTTTAAAAATAAATAATTTAATATTACAATTACTATTGAATTCTCTGAAATAAGAAATCAGTTCGAATGAATGTAATTTTTTTTATAGATTTTAACTTTTACTTCTTTATTTTAAAGAAATTTTAGAAAGTCATGATGAATAGGGATGGAGATTTGCCCCGACCCGGTGGGGAACCCAGTTCATCCGACCCGAACGGAGACGGTGATTCCCTGCTAAAACAGGTCCGGGGGTCGGGGAATATTATTCAAATCGGGGCCGGGGATCCCCGGTGGAATCAAATTAAGGGATATTTTTAATGGGGTTTGACCGCGGATTTACCGGAGGTTGACCAGGGATTGATAGAGGTTTGACCGAGGACGGGATGTTAATCCCAATACCCGTCGGGGTCGGGGCCGGGGATTACAAAACCCGCCTCATCCCCACCCCGGTGCCATGACTAATGATGAAGATGCTCGCAGTTCGGAATTCCCAATTCTCCATTCTCAAACTTTACATCTCAATTTCATATTTGGACTCTTTGAACTTAGAAATGGTTGAAATTATTGCTCCTCCTCAAATCTTTCTAGAAAAATTGTTTCAACTTGTTGATATAACAATTTTAAAGTTTGAGATTTTCTTAATCAATAAAAAAAATTAAAAAAGGGAAAATAGTTGTGTTTATATTCAACTTCCCCTTCCATTCCACAAATTGTTGTTTTAGCCTTATTAACACTCTTAGGACCAGCAAATGGTATCAGAGCAGTGATTCTTTTCTTTTTTCTTTCCAAACTGATCCTATTATCGCTACAAACAACTGTCATAAACACCACTGGTGAGTCTCAAACCATCCCAAATCTTTATATTTGAAGAAACTCATAGAGATATAGTGGTAACATATAAGTAATAATACTTTGACATGTATGGTACTCTAAAATGGGGAATGAACTCATCTTGATGGATTTCTAAATAAAAATCTAGAAAACTAAGAACTTTAGACGGAGAAGATGAACTAGTAACTTGACCCAAGCTTGATTTCCTAGCTTTAATGTCTTCCAAAAACCCTTAAATGGAGTATTCAATGCTCCCAAATCGCTTTTAATGAAGAGATAAGGAGAAGTGATGGTGAGAAACCCTAGCTTAAAATCAGGCATTTAAGTCGCCTAAACCGATCTTGTGACTTTTCTCGCAGTGAAAGTCGCATCGCTCGTGCTCAAAAGTTGAAATCAAAAGTGAATCTTGCGATTTTAATCGCAGGTTTTGGCCGCGGGTCTACCCGCATGAGCCATTTCCTTAACTTCAAATTCCCATTTTGGTCATTTGAACAACTTGGTCTAACCAACACCAATTCCTTCATAAATTTTCAAGTTCCTCACCTATAAAAACATAAGTAAATAAAAGGAGCCAAAGAATTTAAAGGTGTTAGACCATCTTACTCTATTTCGTATGGATTATTGGAGAAATACAATTACTTTCCTCTGAGTTTATGCTCCCGTATTCCAACATTGAAGGTCTCTGATTAGGCTTATTAAAGATTTAACACTTACAAAATATTCAGCTTTTTCTTTACAATATTTTTACATTTTAGAATTAGAGATGGGACTAACGATGCTTAACATTGTTAAGTCAGACCCAAAATGGTGTGCAAGAATTATATTCTTACCTTATCTCACTAAGATTAAAGAGAGTACCCTGCTTTAGCATGACTCATTCTCGATGATCGAAGCTTTGACAAGTGTCATTTTGGAAGACATCTTAAACTTAATATTTGGTGAGTGATTATGTTTAGTTTGAATTTACCACTCTTTCCTTTATGATAGATCGTTTTCTCATCGCTTGATTAAACCAAAATCCAGGTAGGGGGTTGTGAAGATCGCTTGAATCCCTACCTTCCTTAGGTGTTTACACCTTTGTGACAACTCAAGATCGACAGTCCTTTTATATCTTATCATAATTCTCAATCTTGATTTTTATTAAAACTCCTTTTACTTATCTTTCAAAAGTCATATGGAACAATGTATAAGGATGAATCACAGCATAAAGCATTAAATCTAAACATATATACTGCATAATTAATGTGAAATGGTTATAGCCGCATCTTATATGATATTCATAGAGCCATCTAGAATATCAATACATAAGAAGTCCTATGGTTGCTAAGCCTTCAATATCTTCAAGTCGTGGACTCTTTACAATGTTGTCTTCTTTCTTGCTTATATCCTACTTCTAATGTACATTACATTCTATAGGAGAAACACCGAGTTACATTCTACACTGACTGTCTAAGCATGAATGCACTTCCTCAGTACCATTCAATCGAGGGGCCTAGTGATATCACTCTTGTCATCAAAGAGAAAAAATCATATCTTGATCCATGCTAGTACTACTAAGTGATACATGACATACCCAACAAACATTTTGTCGTCCAGTTACAAAATGATTATAAACAGTTATCAAAGTACATCAATTACACAAAGCAAACTTCATGATCTCAAGCCAAAGGACTATATGTACCACGACCACGTGAGAAATGTCTATGATACTTATATGACATTCAATGAAGCATTCTCATAGCGAGTCATGTTATGTATTCAAGATCCCATCTTGTACCCATATGTGGATTATATATCTCCATATACTAGTCATATCATATTAATTCAACCTAAACCAAAATTAATATTTGATTAGAGACATTTTAGAATACAATATTTTAAGGTTATTATTACGTATGGATATAACACAAAATAATGTGTAAACATAATAACTGGCAATGTATTTTATTAAATAAACATGAAAGAATGTCCAAACAATATCATCCGATGATTGGATTTTGGGCATATACACTCACATGCATAACAAAAATCCCCCTCATACCACAACCTATTTATAAAAGAATCATTCACTTCTTGACAGTACTAGAATACTGACATTATCAACGGAAAAAACCGTCATAAATGATCTTTACCGATGGCTTTTCGGTAGGGAATAATTGTCGAGAAAAAATTGGTCGGTAATATTCAGCGATGGTTTCTCGACGGCCTTTATCGACCCATGGTTCATATCACCGACGCTTTCCAACGGTTATTACTATCGACTGCTTTTCGAGGGTTATCACTATCGACAGTTTTTCGAGAGTTTTTAAAAAATTTGTTTACCTTTTACCAACGATTAAACCGTTGGTAAGCCGTCGCTTTTTGGATATTTAATTTTAAAAAATAATTAAAAAACCCTATTTGCTGCATTTTAACCTATATATATATATCACATACAAAATCCATAATTTCAACCATAGATTTACCTACAAATCCGTATATATATATTTATAAATATATATATATATATATATATATATATCCATATAAGTCTATATGAATCTAATAATATATCAAATTCATACCATAAGCAACTACTAATATATCAAATCCATACCATAATCAACTAATATATCTATCTATAAGGAACCACTGGAAGTGGGATCATTAGAAGTCAATGGTGGGAATTGTTGAAATAGCATCTCCTCGATTGTCTTCAGTCTATCATGATTCTCCTTCTCACGCCAAGCGTTCTCCTTCTCACGTCAGGGCGTTCTCCTCTCTCTCAACTGCTCGCTCCTCTTCCACTTTCTGAAGCTTTGCCTTTAATTCTTGCACCTACATAAATTTCAGTAAATTAACGTATGTTCCAATTAAATGAGAAAATGAAAAAGAACAAAAATCTAACCTCGCTTGAAGTGGAACCGACAAATCATTTACTAGTAGTCAACCCGCTTTGCGAACCAGTTACCATGTAGCTCGGATCCGAACACGTACCAATGCCAAACATTCGACCGCTTTTCCTTCCTCCCGCACAACGCTCCATACTTCAATATCTCCAAGTGAATGGGTGCTAGTGTCAAGTTTGTACTTCTCAATCATTTCGTGGAAATAGGCATTCTACGATAAATTAATAGAATAAAAAGTCGGTTAGTAGTTTTTTAAAAATTTCGGCAACATAACCACTGTAAATGAAACATTTCCATCCATGCTAAACTTGTGATAAACATTTGACATAATTCCAACCAATCAACTAACTTGTATGTCATACCTAAAGCTCTATGAGTTATCGAAATGAGTTATTCGTCTAGCAAATTAATGAAATAGTAATTACTAACCATAAATTTTTCAGCCCTCGGGGTAACAAACTACCCCGACCCTGACCCTTTGGTCTTATGGGTCATCGCAAACATCTCCATGGCGGTCGGTTTGTGATATTCTATTGTACCTACAAAATTCAATAGATTCATTAATTTAGTCATCAATAAAACAAAAAGAGTTCTAAAACACGATTAAAATTGTCTTAACTTACAAAACGACATCTTGTTGATCCTCTCTCATTGATTTGATGATAATCCCTTTTACCTTATACGAAGTATTTATGTTTCAGTTTTTCAGTTCCAACGATCGTCACTGAGTCTGTTCAATGATCGCTGAAGAACTTGTAATGTAAATCCAATCAGCAACAACGATACTTCAAGAAGACAAAACTCACACCAAAGAACCTTCAGCGAATGTCGAAGACTGAAAATGATGATTAGAGACTAGCGAGTACGTGATCCGAAGCGGTATTCAGCAATTACAACTTTGTCTACATATGTGTGAAGACTGCACAAGCCTCAACGAATGCTGAAGAGACCTTTAGGTTATTCCAGCATTCAGCGATCA